GACGAGCAGCTGAGACAGACCCAGCAGCGGGATCCGGATCTGGCGGCGGTGGAGGCGGCACTACGGGAGAAAAAGAGCGCCCTACCAGGACCCTGGAGCGGTTTGTATGGCCGGTTGTGTGTGCAGAACGGGGTGGTACGGGAGTTAACCGAGGCCGGCCAGCCGGGTTGCATCTGTGTCCCTGCCCAGGTGCGACCCCAGCTGCTACGGCTGGTGCATGACCACCCACTCGGGGGCCACGATGGGGAACGACGCACTCGAGAGACCCTGCATCGCCAGTATCTCTGGCCCAAATTGGCACAAGACCTGGCCGCCCTGGTGCAGGGCTGCCGCGCCTGTCAGCAGTGCGGGCCGAAGCCGGCACGATATCAGGTACCCCTAAGGCCGTTCCGCGTCAGCCGCACAAACCAGCTGGTCGGGATCGACCTACAGGAGCCATTCCCGCGGTCCCATCGAGGCAACCGGTATATCCTACTCGCAGTAGAGTATTTCACCCGCTACCTCGTGGCGGTGGCCATCCCTGATAAAACGGCTCTGGTGTTGGCCCGGGCATTCGTGGAGCATTACGTACTTAAGCACGGGATCCCAGAACGAGTCCTCATCGACCAGGGTAGCGAGTTCGAGGCCGAGCTGTTCCAGGCACTGTGCCGAGAATTCAGAATCCAGAAGGACCGAACCACAGCGTACCACCCCCAAGCGAACGGTATGGTAGAGCGCATGAATCAGACCCTAGCGGGGAAACTCAAACGTATGGCAGCCGCAAATCAACGGGATTGGGACGAACACCTCCCCTACGCCCTTTTCGCCTACGCCACCACCGTACACACGTTGACGGGACAAACCCCGTTTTTAATGATGTTCGGCCGTGAGTCTCGTTTACCCGCAGATCTGCTGTTCAGCGTTCCTTCCCCCCAGCCGGAGGAGGGAAGCCGCCCCGTGGAACACCTGATGGAGACCCTGCGAGAAGCCCGAGGCCGAGCATACCTGCAAGGGGAAGCCGTGCATCGGCGGCAAGAACAGGGCGCCCGACCCCGCATGGAACCCCCATAATTTCTGACCGGCGCTAAGGTATGGCTGCACACCCCTCGCGCCGGGGCCGGGCAGGTGGGGAAACTGACGACCTACTGGCGAGGACCCTGGACCGTGGTGCGGCAGATCTCCCCCTGGTCGGTACTAATCTATGGCGGGGAGAGGGGTCGGGAGACGGTGGTCAACGTCCGCCGCTTAAAACCATAGAAAGCGGCCCCGGCGAGAGAGAACCCCGTCACCCGAAGGCCCCGAAATCGCGAGGTACCCGCACCCCCCGTGGTTGGGGGCCTCGCATGCTACATGGGCCCCGCCGGGGCCCCGATCCCGAGACGCCCCAATTCAGTCAGGAGACGGCGCGGACGACGGCCCCTAAACCCTTCTGCTTCTGAGTTTGTACCCCAGCCCGCAGGTGCCGGAGGACGGGGAGAGCCGCTGGAGTGGAGGAGGAGACCGCCGCAGGAGCTACAGAGGACGGAGTCACGTGCCCCGAGACCAGCCACGAGGTTCGGACGGATCCCCTGGACCCCGCAGCGTTTCCTCGTGGGCGCGGACTAAGCAAGGTGATCCAGTCAACCCGGGACGGGGAATGGTACCTCGGGGGGCTATGTGATGCCGCCGCCACGAAGCCATTCAACAGGCGCCCTAGCTACGACCTCGCCACCACCAAGCGACGGAGCCAACCCCGCGTCCCCCTCACCTCACATGAACACACCCACACGCATTCCCCCCCCCCCCCCCCCCATAGAGCTCCGAGGGGAGGTCACCTGGCCGACCGGTTTTAATCCGAGAAGCCCTTATCGGGATAACTTTCACGGTTTCCGGTGACCAGGGAATTGGACGACCTCCCCCGATGCTACTTCGCGGCGCTGCGACCGGCATTAAGATTGCAAGGTCGCAGTGAAGGGCCATTCGGCCACCGCGGGTGAAACGCACCACACACACCCCACACACGCAAGGATCGACGGGGCAAGAAGGGGAGCATAGTTGGAGTGGACGCCGCCGCATAATGTGCATAACTACGACAATCCTGCACACCACACACACCCCACACACATGGCAGGAGAGGGAGCGAGGAGTACATGGGAGGGGGGGAGGGGCCTGAGTCTGGGAATTAGGATAAAAGGGAGCGTAGCAAGGTAGAGAGATATCACTTCACTTCAAGAGGCCCGCGTTCAAGTCGCTCCCAGCTCTGCCCTCCGGACGTCCGCGTGACGTGTCCAGACGAGCATCGAGGAAAAGCCACAGGACGCCGAATACTTCGAACCATGAGTAGCAAGGTGGAAGGGTATCGTAAGCCAATAAATAGGGAATAGGCCCAGAGGTAGTAGGATAGGCCAGCCTCGTCGATACGTACTGATTTAACAACAAGTCCCAGGTAGCCGACAATAAATCATTAATAGCTGATCGTGGCCTCGTGTGATCTCGTTGAGACGTGTGAACGCGTGTAGTGCTGCGTATACAGCGGCTCGCCTCGTGGGAGCACTGCGCAGAGCGGCGCGAGAGTGGGTGTCGCGTGTGGAGCTGCGTGTGTGCGCGTGCGTTCACTCCGTGTATGATACAGGTGCGCGATCATAACGTGAGTAGTTAGTGTTGAGTTGGAGTGCACGGAGCTGCGTGTGTGTGTGCGTACGTTCGCTCCGTGTATGATAAAGGTGCGCGATTGGTAACGTGGTTATTCGACGTGGAGACGAGTGCTGCACAGGGCGGTAGACGGGCACATGCTCGCAGCGTGGGAGCGCTGCGTGAGGCTGGACGAGTAGGGGCGTCGCGTTCGAATGCCGGCGACACCCTAGTGGGTATTAGGGCGGTGTGGCAACGCGAACGGAATAGGGGATGCGTGAGGGAAAGACCCCGGGGGCCAACGGCCCCCACAGTAAACAAGGCACCGAATTTACCGGGTAATACTTCACGCTACCTTTACCCTACCAGGTAATTCTTCCGAGCTACCTTTACCCTACCGTTTACCTTACCCCTTGGCATGTCGACACCTTTACCCTTTACCTTTACCCTTTTACCAGGTAAAAAGGGTAAATTACCTTACCTTGCCGAGCACTACGCTCGGGGGAGCGAGGACATGAGGCTGGGGGGGGGGGGGGGGAAGTGGGCGGGGCTGGAAGTGGGAGGCCGAGAGAGCTGGGGATGCATGGGGGGGAATTAACTCGGAATAAGTATAACCCGTAAAAACAAAGTTTTTCACTATAAATCCTTTATATGCGTGGCGGCTAGAGTCCTCTCGTCCTCTGGCTTGAGATGGCTGCCACCTATGGGTCAGATGATTGCATTGCACCATTAAGCAATTGGTAATTAAATATAATATTTTTGTCCTAAAAAGTGTACAATTTTGGAAAACATTTTTTACGAACATTAATTGTCACGCACAATGAGTCTGTGTGGAAAATGTCAGCTCGATTGGATCATGGGAAGTGGGTTAAAAAACGACCAAAAAATTTGCACGGTCCTAAGCAAGTGTAGTGACATAAGAAGGGAGGGGCTGCTGGGGGCTCTGGGACCCTGGGCGGCCCAGGCGCTTAAGCCTCTTGGCGCCAGGTGTTGGGTTCCCGGGCGGCCCAGGCGCTTAAGCCCCTTGGCGCCACCAACGGGGCGGCTGTGTGTGCTCTGTGGGATATCTGGGGGCGCACACGGCCCCAACACCTCGTTGGGGACTAGGCATAAAAGGGGAGCTCCCTGGACGATCAGGGCCAGTCGTAGCTCAATACCCAAGACCCAAGACCAGCCATCTCAGGACCCTGGGACGCTGCGAGAGCCAGTGGTGGGACTCTGGAACTCCCGACTCTGCTTCCTTGTGAGGGCGAGTTCCAGAGCGTAGCCAGAGTAGTGTATCTAGGCTGTGTACCTAGCCTGTGTACCTAGGCTGTAACAGAGTATCAGGGCTGTTGGAGTGTTTAGACTGTTGGAGTGTTGGACTGTTGGAGTGTTGGACTGTTGGAGTGTTGGATTGTAATAAAGAAGTTACCTCTACAAGTGTCTCCGGAACCCATTACACAAGCAAGCGAACTTAATATAAAGGATTTAAAAATAGACTAGTACCCAGCAGATATGATAGACAACAACCATAAAGCAGTTAATGTTTTACCTGGTTAATAACATCCTTCCAGTGATTGCTTTATTTGTATTCATCTTCTCGGTTGAAGTTATGTCTATGTTTATATATCTGAATGGCTTCATGAACAAACCTTTGATAGTAGCCCGACGGTTTAGAGAGTTCCTTGGTCTCTGAAAAAACAATATCGTGTGAACCGACCGCGTTAAAACAGTGATCAGCCACGGCAGAGGTATTGGTTCTACCGTGTTTCAGATCTGCCTTGTGTTCGCGGTCGGAGACATGCTGTTTCGTTTCCCCAATGTAACTGCTACCGCAGGTACAACTCAGTTTGTAAACTCCAGTATATTGCTGTGTATTGTGTCCGCATGTTGAAAACTGTATGCAGGCAAGACGACTCAATGAGTGTTCCAAGGTTTTACAGGATTGGTGGTTGCTGGCTGGGATGTTTAAGTACTTTTTTTTTCCCCCCGCGTGTCAGGAAACCAAACCGAGGAGAACATCCAAACTCATTCATTAGGAGAATGCTCCCGAGTCCGCAACACACTTATTGCACTTAGCGTTTTGTCTATTTATATTGTCTCAAATCTTTTACGCTTACTATCTTCGGATCTACGAAGCCTACCAAGTTAAAATTTTGTACACAGACTCGTCTCGCGTTACAATTCAAGATTTTATTTAATTTAAAAAAGCGGTCCGGGTCCCGGAGACCCTGGAACTATTCGTGCTTTTAACTTAATTAATACTCTTTGGTTCTAATTAAACTCAGACACCCCCCCCCCCCCATTTCCAATCACGAATGGTCGCGCCCAGCTACACGTGGAAACGTCTTGTCCAATCAAAGCGACTTTTGTTGGGAGCCTCTGGCCAATGAGAGGCGCGCTTACATCGCCCCCCGTTATGATGCCGGAGCGGCCGCTGTAGTTCCCTTAGAAGCGAGACCAAGAATTAGAATATTGACAATAATTACCACTATTGCTATTCTTAACATCATAGTAATAATAGTAATAAATAGCATTCTCATTTCATTTGCCACGCCCGTTCCGACGGGCTGAGGCCAACATGCTCATGCTGAAGTTTAGCGAGCAGGTGAGAACTGTGATCATGATTTAAAACTAAATGTCCTCATGTTATCGTTATTTTAATTGGCAAAATATTCTAATTATGATTGTTGATATAAATGCCTTGCCGTATTTTATACACTACAGTATCTAATGAACGCAACTACGATAATTATACGTGTTATACTGATTGCGTTATAAATGTAATTTCATTTCTTTGCAATCGGGGTGATTGTTATTCTAATTGTAATATACGTGCTGCATGTTGTCAACCTTCCATCACATAGACTGTTGTTTTGCAATGCGCATGCTTTCATTGTAGGGTTAAGGGTTGACATAGGCAAACCACCATAGTCGTCTCTTACAGGGTCATAAAACGGGTACAACTTTGTGCGAAGTAAGTGGTTGTTAAAGATGATCCCTGCTTTGGGAATGTGGAAGTTTCACTGGTGGAGATTAGCGCCGCACAATGCCCATAGGAGCATAGAGATCTTTTGTCAATCCACTGCTGGATGACAGCCTCCCCACACCCTGCTGGTTGTGGAGGCCATACTTCACCCCGGCAGGTCATTGCTGATTGGTAAAGGTGGGCACCATAGACGTACAGTAGAACTGGATATAAACACAATCTGTGTTGTGCATGGTGGCACCCATCCAGGCACTGTCCGAGCTCAGATCTGCTTGACTTTCGAGGTCCGACCAGATTGGGCACATTCTAAGTCCAGGTGATTTGTTCATAGTCATTGAGGGTTATAGTGGTACTGTTCTTAACAGTTAACATCTCGCGGTGGAGAGATGTTAACTACCTTGCCTGCTTTCCAGGAGGTCGTGGGTTCGATGCTGACCCTTACGCCTGTATATTTGGAGATTGCATGTTCTCCCCATGGTCGCGTGGATTTTTCTCTGGGTCCAGTTTATTCCTCCACATTTAGAAACATGTGCTTCAAGTATTTGGCTACTATAAATGTCCACGTGATAAGCCACTTCATTGGGCTATCATTTTTGGCCAGGTTGCTTCTGAAAAGAGCTACACAGCTCTAGTGGGCCTGACCTGGTAAAATAAAATAGTTAAAATAGGTTTCACTGTAAAAAAGGTAAAACAAACATTTGTTTAATGCACACACTTTGATTTGCACTCAAAAGTAGAAAATACATGATTTTGACCCCAGAATGAATAACATTTGACGTGATGAATAAAAGTGGTTGGCTTCCTTTTGATTTTTGTAATGCAATCCACCCACTTTTATTCAGCACAACAAATTTGATTAATTCTGGGGTAAGAAAGAAACAATTCTACTTTGGAGTTCAAATAAAAGTGTGAAAATAATTTTTTACATTCTTTTTTAATCTTGACTTAAAGCTCTCATGACTGCAGGAATTCATTCTCTTGGGTTTTTCGGTAAAGTCACGTAGATGGGAAAAAAAATCACGACGTTTCGATCGCAACACAGGTTAAAAATACAGCAGGTGAAAAAATACAGCAGGCGAACTGCTGAGGTAGGCGGAATATAGCGGCAGAGCTGCTGCAGCTAGAGGTTATATAGGTTTGAGATGGGTGCAACCCAAAGGTAAGTGGGTGGAGCTAGAGATGGAATTTGCATGTAAATGACATGTTTGTCATCTGGCCACATGGCCTGCCAGCACTGAACCAATTCTTCAACCACAACAATACCATACACCCAGCCACACTCTGTAAAGCTGTCACCCCAACCGTTGGGAGAGAACCATCTGAGGACCCATTTAAAACCATCACCTTGCCATGCATATGGGTCACCAAAAAGATTTCCAAAATCATGAGCAAACACAAGATCCAGGTTCGATTCAACACAGTACATTACGTTTGTGATCTGATCCCATCTGTGAAGGATGTGATCCCTGACATGCAATACCGAGGTGTCGACAAACTAAGTCGTGTCTGCAGCAGTAGTTACATTGGGGAAACTAAGCGACATGTCTCAGACCGTGTTCGTGAACACAAGGTCGATCTGAAACACGGTAGGACCAGTACCTCGGCCGTGGCTGATCATTGTTTTTACGCTGTGGGCACACATGAAATAGATTTCTTCAAGACGAAGGTACTCTGCAAACCTACTGGCGATGAACAAAGATTTGTTCATGAAGTCATCCAGATATATAAACACAGACACAATTTCAACTGAGAAGATGGGTACAAACTGAGCAATCATTGGAAGGATGTTATTAACCAGGTAAAGTCATAACTGGCTGTGATGCTTCCATCCTACCTGCCGATGTTAGTTATTTCCGACTCTCCTGAGTTACATTACCTTTCGATTTAAAGCTTTCGTGACTGCAGGGATTCATCTTCTTGGTTCTTTCGGTAAAGTCATGTAGAAGGGAAATAATAAAAATAAAAATCATAAAATAATTCTCGCGACGTTTCGGCCACAACACAAGCAGCCGTCCTCAGGTGAAGAACAGGTCTGTCTGAAAGACAGCGTCTGAATGAACACCACCACGCTTGGCAGCGTATATTTAAGCTGGGTTGGAGGGAGAAGAGCGCCTTGACAAAGGAATTTGCATATCAAGAGGAATTTAGCATATTTATGGAAAATGCAGATATGGGATTAGTCACTACTTGTGGAATGCGTAGGTGGGCGGGGGGTTTCAAAGTCATATTATGCCCGTGCATAATATGACTTGCAGCTCCATACTATTAACATTCCTTCCCTTTATTAATGCTAACCCTACTCCCTCCCTTTGTTGCTGCTAATCCTGCATATTGCATAATGCACGGGCATATGACCTTGAAACCCCCCGCCCACCTCCTACGCATTCCACAAGTAGTGACTAATCCCATATCTGCATTTCCCATAAATATGCTAAATTCCTCTTGATATGCAAATTCTTTTGTCAAGGCGCTCTTCCCCCTCCAACCCAGCTTAAATATACGCTGCCAAGCGTGGTGGTGTTCATTCAGACGCTGTCTTTCTGACAGACCTGTTCTTCACCTTCTACGTGACTTTACCGAAAGAACCAAGATGATGGTTACATTACCTTGTTAAATGTCTTTACATTAACAAGCTAAATGTCTCACTATCATAGCCGCTGCTCCCTTTTACTCAATGTGGCGGTGGCTCTCGTTTAATCGGCTGAATGTCTCACTGGCAGGGCCACCGTTGCGGTGGGTCTCTTGCGTTGACATGCTTGATCACTCACAGTGCAGCGGCCAACGCTGCAGCTTTTTGTTGCCTATGAGGTGGCGTTGTGCACGGTTCTCTGACACTGACATGCCAATCTTCTCATGAACACAGCCGCTGCTGGGGAGCTGTCTCACATTGACATGCTAATCTCTAATCCCTCGGTTTATCAGGCTCTCCGATCTTACATTTACATGCAAATTCCATCTCTAGCCCCGCCTACTTACCTTTGGGTTGCACCCATCTCAAACCTTTATAACCTCTTGCTGCAGCAGCTCTGCCACTCTATTTCTCCTGCCTCAGAGCAGTTCGCCTGCTGTATTTTCACCTGAAGACGATTGCTTGTGTTGCAATCGAAACGTGATTTTTATTTTTTCTATATACGTGACTTTATCGAAAGACCCAAGAGTACAAATTTATAAAAATTTATTTTTAGTTTACTTATGGATATACCCCTAGAATGACAGACCCACAGACAAGCACAGAGATCCAGACACAACAACAATAACCGCCATTCGCCACGAAGTGGCGGTAACGTCACGACGGCGCTTGTTCCATGCTCTTTGCACCTTAAGGAGTTAAGGCCACGTGGCAAACGCCCGCTGGCAGGGGGTCATGGGACAGACCCAAGTGCCATGGGTTGACTGAGATGACTGGCAGATGCACCACCTTTGCCCTCTACTGTGCCAACTTGCTGTTTTTTAGCCACCCAAGATGTTGGGTTAAAGCCATCGTTCTGGATATCTCATTGGATTCATAATGGCTGTGTCAAATTCAAAATTTTAATGCTTGTTGTTTTCAACGTTGCTCCTCTGCCCTCTTGTTGCTGGAGGGTGACTACATCAAACTGCCCAATAGCATCCTTCATGAGCTTTCTCCACACAGGCCAATCTTGACACTGCTGGTACCAGTCATCAGCAAGTCAATTCTGCTCCATATTGTTTCATACCACGTGATTCCATCTCTTCTCTCGCCTGTGCCATGCCCGTTTAGCCCCCTCTATCCGGCAGAACAAAAGCTGTTTGACCATGTCGTGGCTGGGCATGCAGGCTACATGACCCAGTCAACGCAACCTTGCCTGCTGGAGGCTCACCGATGGGACTTTGTCCAGACCAGATAGTTTCCACACAGCATTACGCAACCAATGAAAATATAATGTCGCTCGACTGAGTCGGAGTGAGGACCTCTGCTGTCAAACAGGAGCTGGTCATAAGCACTCTCTTCATAACTGCCCCATCACCGATGGGGAGTTCAAGAGTGATGATTTAATGCTTTCGTGACTGCAGGGATTCATATTCTTGGTTTTTTCGGTAAAGTCACATAGAAGGGAAACAATAAAATAATACAAATAAAACAATAAAAATTCTCACGACGTTTCGGCCACAACGCCAGAAGCCGTCCTTCACGTGAGGACGGCTGCTTGCATTGTGGCCGAAACGTCGTCAGAGGCGTGGGAACAGGGCTTTGCCACCCGCCCCTGCCACAGAAAGTGATGTTCATCCCATGCCCTTTGGACCGGGATTCTTAAATAAAGTGCAAAACTAAAAATGAATGTGCAGGTCAGTGGCGCAGTAACGACATTACAGTATCAGCTCGGGGGGGTGCGGCAATCGGTCAGGTAGAGCCCCAATATTTAATTTGTTTCATAAAGTTGTGCCTCGGCTATTTTATATCATGGCTCCTGTTGCCCTAATCGCATTATCGTTATCCTCACGGTCTCAAACGTTTAACTCTGTAGGGGCGCTCCGTTTTAAATAACTTTTGCTCTTTTACACTTGTTGGAAACGTACCTCATGGTGGTTGTCAAGGGCGCCCCAACTCTTAGCTTTGGCCACCAGGGGGGTGGGACAAGGCACCCCCTGCCTCCCAC